ATTTTGCCTTTTATCAAAGAATAAAAGAAATCAGCTACAGTAGTAAAACAATGTTGGGTTAAATTTCCAATAGCTTCTGCTGAAGGAAAGAGGTCATACTGCGGCCATCCACCACTCATAGCTTCTTGTTAGACAACATCTCTTCCCAATTTGTTATCACTTAATATTTCATAACTAGGATGCAGCTTCACTATGCATTCAATACTGAAAATGCAAGTTGGGCTTTCAAACAGAACAAAGAAAGTATGATTCAGGTCTCAGAGCTCAGGAAAGACACAACCATTCACAACAATCTATCTAGAGATAATTTTAAAAACAAAGCAAAAAAAGCTTATCTTCAAAACACATCATCATCAAATATGTACTCAGCTCAGTACCTAGAATCCATGTAATACAGTGGTGCCGCGCTTAGCAATGTTAATCAGTGCAGCAAAAATCGCTGCTAAGCGATTTCATCGCTAAGCGATTTTAAAAAGCCCATAGAAACGCATTAAAATGTGTTTAATGCATTCCTATGGGCTTAAAAACTAACCTTATGCCAAAATCTTCCATTGCGGCAGCCATTTTCAGTGCCTCTAAAGCGAGGCAAAACAGCGGGCGGCCATTTTGTTTACCCGATGGCCATTTTGGAACCGCCAATCAGCTAGCCAAAAATGGGGGCTTTGCGATGATCGCTTCCCCGTGATCATCGCAAAGCGAATTTTCCCCATAGGGGCCATCGCAAAGCAATTACTTTTGCGATCGTAAAAAGTGTCGCAAAGCAATTTCGCCGTAAAACGGAGTGATCGCTATGCTAGGCACCACTGTATTTTGCATTTTATTGTAATTTTCAAAAACTCTGGTCTATTTGCATCACACTAAAGTAAATTTGTTAGAAGCCAAAATATTGACCAAACAAGATCTGGTATCTTCTAAAAAACCCATTGTCTATCAATCTGATTTATTTAAATTAAAGTGCTGGATTTAAACGATACTTATCTCTGATCCAAAATACATTACTAGGATTTCAGCAGGACTAAAAGAAAGGCATAACCCATGTCCTCCTGAAGTCCCTGGCAAAAGCTCAACTGGCTGTAATATAACTGGCTTGCAGCTAAAGTACTTAGGATCAGGGTATTAGTCTTACTGATCAAGGATTAAACTGTATTGCATTATATATATTCCCCACCCCTTCAACAAATGCTTGGGCCTTTTTTTACTTAAAAATAACCATGCATCTCTTTACTTTGCCATTTATTTAACAACAGAGAGTGCCTGTAATTTTTTTAGACTCTTTCTAAAGCTTACATATTTAACATGAAACTGTTTATTATCATAATCCTACCTACTAACATTCCAGAGCGCTTACAGAGCATTTAGCCTTTCTAGCTTCAGCCTCAAATCAACACTGGGCTACTAAGGCCTTCTGATACCTTTGTTTTCTTCAGTGATCTGCATCCAGAAACTTGAAGAAAGCACTCTTAAACATCTTTAAAGAGAAGCTCTTAAACTGAATTATAACCCTCTCTTCTAATGAGGACACATTATAGGCCTTACAAAAAATAAAACTAAAAATACAAAGTCCCAAATGTATTTAGCTAAGACACTGAAAAGCGGTGGATTTTTATTTTATTTTTAAATGCCATGCACAGAATCAAGAAATTGATCATGTAAATACACCAATGTGAAATTCTGCCCAGCAGGTAGTAAAGCAGTGGGCAACCTTCAGCCTTCTTTCATGCAGCCCTATCTTCATGTTGTCTGCTAAGATGGGGTAGCACAAATAAGAAGGGAGGAGAGGAGAGGACAGCAGAAAGAGTTGCAAAATACTGCATTTTTGCTCCATAAGACGCACCTCTCCATAAGACGCACCAAATTTTTAGGAGAAGAAAACAGGAAAATAATAATCTGTTTTCTTCTCCTAAAAATTTGGTGAGCTTTATGGAAAAGTCCGTCTTATGGAACACACCCTAGGACCCTTTGGAGGCTCACCCTGCCCCCCCCCGAGGGGCCAGAGTGAGCGAAATCGCCACCTTCAGGCTTCCCAAGCCTCAAAAGAATCCCAGAAGGTGGTGATTTCGCCCCTCTGGCCCCGTCATCAAGTGGGGCACCACTGTATATCCTTATATACTGGTTTATTTGTTATAATTTAATTATTATAATTTGTTATAATTTAGATCACATCTTCCCACTATAAAATAAAACAATCATAACGAACCACAGCATCAGAGTTGGCATAAAAGTCAAGGCTGATACAACACCTAAACAGAATCTCCTCCAATTAGCAATGGAAGCTCAGAGAGAAAAAACATGCTTTCATTGGGAGAGAATTTCACACAAAGGGTGAGATCACATTGGCGGCTGTCTCATGTGGGAAGCACTGGTAGTTGGGTGGCAGAAGAACCTTAGTTCTGTTAAGGGGCACATCCCCTTTGGTGTAATTTGTTGGAAGGCTGCTTGCTGGTGTCATGTGGACCCAGGATAAAAGCAAGCAGGGACAGAACCCATTGTAGGTGGTCTTTGTCACACTGTGTGTTTACTATATTTTTGCTCCATAAGACGCACTCCCCCCCAAAAAAGTGTGCGTGCGTGCGTGCGTGCGCGCGCGCATCTTATGAAGCAAAGCTGGCAATTTCGCCCCCACTGGCCCGAAGCAGGGACCAATTCAAAGTAAAGCAAAAAAAACCCCATTGAATTGTCATTTTGCTATCGCTATAGCACAGAAGCGATCGCAAAAAACTAATCATAAAGCAATTTTGTCTAATGGGGTTGTCGTGAAGCGGGGCACCACTGTATGTAAATATATATAATATAATCAAGTGCTGTCAAGTCAGTTCTGACTTATGGTGACCCATGCCCAAAGCCACACAAGCCACAGGGAGGCACAGAGGAGAATGGAACTCCCAATCTCTCGTTCTGCAGCCAGACACCTAACATATTTCCTGTTTTCTTCCAAAAAGCTTACTGCAGTTTCTCAGTTTCTGCCCTGCTATTTAATCTTTACAGTTCTATAAGAGAGATATAACTAATAGAAAGAGATGTGACATTTTTGGACACAAACTCCCAGAATTCTCCAAGGCTCCCCTGGCAGAATTCTGGAAGTTCCAGTCCACCATCCTATATACATCTACATGTGGTTCACCTGAAGGATGTAATTCAAAGCCACCATGGCATAACTCGCTGTTAAAAATTGAAACTAGCCTGGTGCTACCTGAGAGTCTCAGGGCTTCCTGGAGGTACAGTCCAGCCCAGCTGCTCTTTAGGCCCTACCTAATGTACAAGATTACATCACACCAGTCACACATTTAAATGCAAGATTTCACTTGTCTTTGATGACTTGCAGTCAAATGAGATATGATGACTGTGAGTTGACAGGCATTGCTTTTAATGCATCTTTCCTATCTACCTCTAAAACAGTGAATGAGACCTCCAGTAGGGGGGAAAGGGTACATGAGAAAGTTGAGTCCTCTTCTGCATCTTATCTCCCTACAGCGGGAGGAGGCAGAAATGGAGAAATACAGTTGGAGCAAATTAATGTGTGGAGATAAGCTTCATGAGGGCTCATGCTTTAGCATATTCCTACCATATCCTCTTTTCACTATTAAAATGAGATGCATAAAACTTCGACCTTCTTATATTATGCAAAATATAAAGGTGACATTTAGGATCATTTTTTAAAAAATTAATTGATTTAAATTAAAGGGTGTGAGGAAGATCCTACTTAAAGTATCACAAGTAGCAAGATACTAACAAATAGGGAGGATGAAATAATAGCACAGTCTTCATTTAAAACCATCTCAGCTAAATACTTTTGGCACCTGCTGTAGCCAGCATTTTGGAAACATTTAAACAAAAGCATCCAGCCTTAAGTTTACACTCAAAGAATCTCAGAGTAATCAGTAGAGAAATAGTTGGGTGTAATAGGGATGTCAAACATGTGCAGTACCTAATTAGCAAATTAGCAACAAAAAAAAGCAACCTTACAACAACCTTCATTAACAGTATCTTTCAATAAAGTATTGTGTTTTATTTCTTCGCAGGCAGTGTGTCATAGTGATCAACTGATGGAGCTTAGTTTGGTTTTTATACAAAACCTGTCTCATAGACAGAAAAGAAATGGAATCACACTAAATTGGATAGTATTCAGATAGTTTACACTATTCAACCAGCATGCAGTCTTACTATAGAAAATAGCGTTCATTCTTCTGACCTCATTTACTTACTCAAACAAATATACTTTTACTGCTGCAACTAAATAAATGTGTTTCTGCTTTTATAGCAGCTTTGGCATCTGTTATGACTCTATCTATCGTAAAGTTTTATATCCCACCCTAGTATGCTGTACTCAAGGTGCCTTACATCACTTAGAGTGATCTATCAGAAGTATATTCCAATGCGTTCAACATCAACGTACCCTCTAGTTTTCAGCCTCGTTGGGTGGGGCTCCACTTCTCTCTCTCTTAACTTTGCCCCTGTGTGCGCACACGACTCCACTGCCCGCCCCCCCCCCGCACACAGGGTTCCATCTTGAACAGAACCTAACACGACTGTTGTGCGGAAAAGGAAGAGAACCACATACAGGGAGGCAAAGATGCACGCCAATTCATGGCCAGCTTAGAGAGAACCTTGTTCGACATGGTATATTCCCAGATAACCAGGCAAAGAATCACAGCCTAAGATACGCACACTTCACCAATGTGAATTAATCTCTTATACAGAATTTACAGATTTTTGGAATAACTACTGCTACAGATATACAAAATCAGAACTCTGAATTGCAATTTCAATTCTAAACCTAAACACCAGTATTTGATATTTTAAAAACGAGTTATTCCAAATCTAGCCTTATAAATTTGGGAAATAAATACATGTTGTCAGATAAAATGCAAAAAGAAAAAAAAGAAAAAAAGAAGAAGAAAAAAACAGCCAACACTGAAAAGATTCTGAATCACATCAACGTCTGTTGCACATCTACTCTCAAGTCAGGCTAAACTAATCAAAGAAAATTCAAACAGACTTACCAAGGGGCACCATATATTCGGAATCCTTTCACTGTTATTTCAGAATCTTGCAAGTAAATACTGTTTGTCAGAAGTGACTGAACATTGTCAAAGTCTTCTGGTTTCAATTTGGACACAGAAGGAAATCGGTAGTAATCCTGTTTAACAAGATCTGCCATGAATTCTTTATCAAATGTCAGTTCATGATTTCCAGCAATCACTATTTTGTATTCATATGGCAAGTTTCCTGAAACAACAACAAAAATATTCAATCAACACATGTGTGTTCCACATCAAAATACACCTCACATTTACAAGTCATAATGGATATATTAGTATTTCAAGAAGAAGAAACAAATGGTCCCACTCTATGCAATATACTGATGTTCAGCAACGTCTTAATAAGTAAGCACATGAACCCATTCCACTGCATCTCATGGTGTAGCTGACCACTTTTGACTATCATATCAAGGGATTACATTTCAACCATTCAAAAAATATAAAATATTGAATATTTTGAATTCCTTGTATTTCTAAATCTGCCAGGGACTGAAAAACTGGATGTGGGAAATCATAAATTATTCCAAATTTATTAACATTGGGGGGGGGGAGCTATCTGCTGTGTTCAGTACTATTGTACAACAACTGAAGATCTGGCTGTCTAGCAATATCCACAAGAGACTGGGAGCCAATAAGCACATTTTGGTAGCACCTCTCACAAGAATTTCATTGACAGCCATGAAGAATATTTTACCTGCATTATCCTGTATTATGAGAATATGACAGCAACATAAACATTGAAATGCTCCAGTTTCCATGTTTGTTTCTGAAATAATGACTCATTTTAAAGTCATTTTCTAATGTGTATTTATAGCACCATTTTGCCCAGCAACATTTACCGGGGTGGGGGGGGAATATGGTTTTCACAATTTAAAATGTTCACACCTTCTTTCCCTTTCCCTGCATGCCATTCGTATCTATTGTTTGCCACCAATTTACTAGACTTTCTTCCCAAGTCTGTAGTTTCAAATCCAACACTATTTTGCATGCTTTTCTTAAAATACTCAGGCAGGCTAAATTTAAAGAAGAAAAAAGAAGAAAAATTTCTTCTGGGTGCGGTACCAGGAATCATGACACACAATCAGTTAGTGTTACACACCAAATTGGATGAGGGTAAAAAGTACCACTCTGAACTTGAATACGCTTTCCAATAACACCACACAGCTGATCATACCATGTAGACCAGGGGTCCCCAACCCCAGGTCCACGGCACGGTGCCAGTCCGTGGCCTTGGCAGGACTGGGCCGTGGAGACAGATCTCCCACCTGCATGTACACACCCCCACGCATGCATGCCCCACCCAACCTCATGGGTGCTCGGCCCCCTGTGAGCACACCCCACCCCCACAAGTGCCCCTGACATCTGCGCATACGTGCGAGTGTACCCTGCCTCCACAAACGAGCACATCCACACATGTGCCGCAAGTGTGCCCCGCCCACCCATGAGTGCAGGTGTGCCCCACCCCCCTGCATAAAGAGCCCCCCCACCTGGTCCTTGGTTCCGAAAAGGTTGGGGACCACTGATGTAGACAAACCAAAGGTCTCTTCAGCAGATATCCGAAGTGGGGGCAGCATGCACATGTTCCTATTTAACTTTAAACTTAAATAAGTACTGTACTGTACAAACTTTCTGAAAAGTCTTCACCACCTTGCCTATCTGCAAAATGTAGAGTCATTGTCACCACGTCAAAACTTTGTTACAAGATTATAATCTGTTACTGACCTTCTGCAAACTAAGGCTTCTGCACTAATTACAACAAGGTTTTCTTGTAAGTTAGTAGCTCCAGAGATGTGACAATTCAGGATCAAACAAAGATATAATGATAATAGTTTTATGCAGCCATGTCCCATGATTTGAGCATATGTGTGTGTGTGGGGGGGCTGTATTGTAGAATAGTAGGATGCGGTGACCACTCTGCTTGGACCAGATTGCCTATGGTTTACACACGGAATACAGTAACTGGGTCTGAGTTTCATTTTGCACTCTCTTGTCTGACAGGAATGTGAACAGAGTCAACACACAACATAATGTGACATTGTAACTATTTCACTGGGATGCATATTGCCCTTAGAGAGTAGTGAAGAAGCACAAAGATGTTAACTGCAACTTGAATACATATTCAGTTACTACTGTATATGGTTCTACCACTGTACTGAAGTAGCACAAAGGTACACTGAGCTTGTTTGCACTGTATGGTAAAGTAAATTCTATTTCAAAGAGATGCAGATGTAAGACTTTTTCTATGACCCTAAACTTTATGACACACTTTCCTGTTGACCTTGTTACTTACTTACATTTATACTAGACTTTAACTGAGAGTGTGGGATGACAGAATGACTCTTGCCTGTGGCAGAACTGGGGAGGAAGTAACTCTATCAGCTCTCCTTCACTTTTCATCTCACAAAAATCTACTCTAGAGCAGTGGTTCTTAACTTTGGGTTACTCAAGTGTTTTTGGACTGCAACTCCCAGAAGCCTTCACCACCAGCTGTGCTGGCTGGGGTTTCAGGGAGCTGCAGTTCAAAAACACCTGAGTCACCCAAGGTTAAGAACCACTGCTCTAGAGGATTGGTGGCACCCTGGAACACTGGCTAGAGCAAATTTAGCATTGCAGGGCAAGGGTGAAATTAATGAGAATTGTCTTTCCTTCTGTTTTCCTCCTATAAGAATGTGTCAGCAAAGTTCCACTTGTAAGATGTCACTTGACAACAAACTGTGCATCCAACCAATGGACGTTAGTTAGGTGTGATTGGTCACATTTTGGGGTCTCTTTAAAAAGGCATTAGCCAGCACAACTACTGCATGTAGTAGACAAACCAAAACAATATCACAGAGAAAGAAAAACAAGAGACGTCTGACAAGACTGGTGTGGATGCACACAGAGCTCTCTGACAAGCTAAGAGACAAAACGGGTAAGTATAAAAAACTGAAAAGGGGGCTCAAACTAGAACAGAATACCAGCAAATAGCTATAATCTGAAAGGATGGAGTCAGGAAGGCTAAGGCTCAGAACGAGCTAAAACTTGCAACAAATGCCAAAACTAACCAAAAAAAAGGTTCTTTCAACAGATATGGAGCAAGAGGAAAGTGAAGGAAATGATTGGGAGAAGATGGAAGACCAGTGGGAGAAGATGACAAGAAGGTGACAGGCAACAGGGAGAAAGCGGAAACGCTTAATTCTTTTTTTGCATCTGTATTTAAGCAAAAGGAAAAACTGGTCCACCCTGTCAAAAGCAGCGCTGTGGGAGACAGGAGAGAGAAGCAGGTCAAAATAGGTAAGGAAGTGGTAAAAGAACACCTAGCTGCTTTGAATGAGTTCAAGTCTCCTGGACCGGATGGTTTACATCCCAGGGTACTGAAAGAACTGGCAGATGTGATCTCAGAACCACTGACTGTAATTTTTGAGAGGTCCTGGAGCACGGGCAAACCGCCAGAGGACTGGAAAAGAAATGATGTGATTCCAATCTTCAAAAAAGAGAACAAAATGGATCCAGGAAACTACAATCCAATCAGCTTGGCATCAATACCTGGGAAAATCCTGGAAAAAAATATCAAGCAGCAAATTTGTGAGCACCTAGAAAATAACAAGGTGATTACTAGAAGCCAGCATAAGTTTGTTAAGAACAGATCATGCCAAACAAATCTTATTGACTGCTTTAATAAAGTGACTAAATTAGTGGACCAAGAAAATGCATTGGATATAGTGTACAGATGTGCCTCGACTTACGACCATTTTGAGTTACAACCAGATCCAGCCGCAAACTTTTGCTTCGACTTGTGGCCGGAGCTTCCAGTTACAAACAGAAAAAGGCAGGGGGAAAAGGCGGGAAATTCAAATTGCTAACCATTGGTAGGCGAAGAGGCTGCTTCTTTGTGGCTCTTTCGCCACAACGGTTAGAGTGCGATCGAAGGAGGCTTTGGACTGCCTAGTAAGGTAAGGTGCTGCTTTCTGCTTTTTAAAAACTGTTCTGGGTGGGTTTGGCAGCATTGGTTTTAGGCTGGGTGGTGGGATTATGTTTCTGTGCTGTGATGAGTCTTGGGGGGTTGTTTGGTTTTTTGGGTTTTCTCCCCCATTTCCGATGGGTCTTGGTGGGTTTGCTTGCTTTTGGGGTTTTCCTCCATTTCCAATGGGTCTTTGGGGGTTTGGTTGCTTTTTTGGGGGTTTCCCCCCATTTTTGATGGGTTTTGCAGGGTTTGCTTGATTTCTGCTTTGCTTTTTTTGCATTTCCGATGGGTCTCACACGCTTTGCTTGCTTTTCTCCCCCCCCCCTCGGCCGGAACGGATTAATCGCATTTCTGATGGGTCTTGACTAATTGGGGTGTGTGTGATTTTTTTTTCTTCAGCCGGAACGGATTAATTGCATTTCAATGCATTCCTATGGGAAATGGCACTTCGACTTACGACCATTTTGAGTTATGACCAGAGTTCTGGAATGAATTAAGTTCGTAAGTCAAAGCACCACTGTACTTAAACTTCAGTAAGGCCTTTGATAAGGTAGACTACAACCTACTTCTGTGTAAGATAGAACAAAGTGGGATAGATGGCACAACTACCAGATGGATTTGCAGCTGGCTGACCAACCGCACTCAACATGTGGTCCTCAATGGAACCACATCTACGAGGAGGGAAGTGTGCAGTGGGGTCTCTCGAGGTTCTGTCTTGGGCCCAGTGCTCTTCAACATCATCAAAAATGACCTGGCTCGAGGTTTTGAAGGAGCACTCATCAGATTTGCTGATGACACAAGGCTGAGGGGAATTGCTAATACTTTGGAAGATAGACTCAACATTCAGAAGGATCTAGACAGATCTGTATTCTCAAAGGCTTTCACGGCCGAGATCTGATGGTTGTTGTGGGTTTTTCGGGTTCTTTGGCCGTGTTCTGAAGGTTGTTCTTCCTGACGTTTCACCAGTCTCTGTGGCCGGCATCTTCAGAAGACTGGAGTAGGAACTCAGCCTACTGTTCCTACTCCAGTCCTACTCCAGTCCTCTGAAAATGCCGGCCACAGAAACTGGCGAAACGTCAGGAAGAACAACCTTCAGAACACGGCCAAAGAACCCGAAAAACCCACAACAACAATCTAGACAGACTTGAACACTGGGCCCTATCCAGTGGTGGGATTCAGCTGGTTCGCACCGATTCTACAGAACCAATACATAATGTACTATCAGTTCTGCAGAACCGTTTGCT